ACTCTAGGCCCTCCCCTCCCAAATTCCACAGCAAATGGCTGCAAGTATGAAGACACTGATAAATAAATAATACTGATGAACAAGCAGACATTGGGATGCTTTTCATTACAAAGTATGCTAATTTATCTATAGTCCCCCGTAGCCATACTTGCATGAATTTTGTGTTGTCAACATATGCTTCAGTTAAATATCTTTAAACTTGCAAGTACATCACATATAGCCATGTTTTTTGAAAACAAAGAAAACCGTACCATTACTGTGAGGCCAAGAGTGAACAGTAGCACTTCTGACGAGGGCTTCATCCACTTTACCGCCTGTAGGATTATCCACATACTGCCTGCCTTGCTCTAGGGCATTGAAGCACTCCATCCAGGAGTCATTGCTTTCTGCCTGAACTCTGTCGTAACTCCAATTTGTGTAAGAGAGCGCCTGCCGGCTGCTGGCAGACATGTAGTCCAAGTAGCTAAGCGAGGTGAAAGGCTGGGTATGCTGATTCTGGAGGAGGAGGAGGAGGAGGCTCATTGGGAGATCATGAGCCCTTTTGGATCCCTCTCCTGGCTGAGGAATCAAGGTGGTCTGACACATCATCAGCCTCCTCTCTGCAACTTGGCCGATGTCTGAAGTCCTGCCAAAAATATCCAATTCATCCTCAATAAACAACCCAGAGTTGTACCCTAGTTTGCGGTTCATAATTGCACTAAATCCACAAGTGCACCGATACTGGTCCTCGTTAGACGAATCTGGGATATACAGCCCCACATCTGCACCTTTAATATTCATGTTGCAAGCACAAATGCAGCAGCTGTCAAAGTTGCTGTCTTTAAAGATATTCAGCACAGAATCTGAAAGAATGAGTGTGACGTACAAACTGTGAGCTTCCAAAATTGGTTGGACAGTGGCTGGCTCCACAGAATTGAGAGGCCGGGTCGTGGAGGGTGTAGAGGCTGGTGACCCTTGGTCTGTGCTGTCATATTTTACAGATCCTTGCCCACTAGCAGTGCCCCCACCTCTAGGAGTCCTTGGGGTCCTGGGTGTACGTGGCGTAGGGACGGAGAAGCGAGGCGTGGCAGGAGAAGGCAATACTCCTGCTCCACTGTTGCTAGCTGGGGCAGTGCTATTTAGCGTCACAGGAGTGCTCATCTGGGGAGTGTTCATTTGAAGATAGTCTTGATCTGCTAGGCTCCCGACACTGGGCACATTACTGCAAGGAGATAAGCAAAACAAACAAAAAACTCAACTGATTGGCTTTATTATTTCTTCACAGAGTGTTAGCCTAAAAGGGAAGTAGACAAAAGTATTCTTACCAGAAGTCCCCCAAGTAATATAAAGACATCTGTACATCATATCAGATCTTAACCAGGTTGAGCAAGTTTGTACTAACAGTGCAGGAAAGAGGTAGTAAACTACCAAACCTTGCATTGTGTCTGAAATCAAGTCAGTGTCCACATTGCAAAAATCTGAAGAAACAACAGAATTCTAAAGAAATCTACCATGGGACACCTACAAATAGATACACTTTAATTTTTTTAGGAATATTAGGATTTAAGGTGCTTATATTTCCAGATGGGTACAATGCGTTTATTGATTTGTACCTACAGCAATTTAACCTGACCCTACCAACTGAAATACAGAAACTGTCATGCCTTTTAGCCAAGCAATTGTTAATTGGTGATACATCTGTTTGTGCCACAACTGCTGGGAGGGGTGGGTAGGCCAGCACCTGTAAAGGCATTTCATATCATTCCACTATCTGTTCAATCTCTGTAGTTAGAACACCGCAGCAACTTTCAGATAGCATACTCAGATCATATTGTCATGGAATTTCACAGAAAGGGCAATGTGGGTAAAGATCTCCATAATTAGTCCTACTTGCATTGCTAATAAAAACACTTTTCTTAAAATGTGCTCCTAACTGCAATCACTCCCTTGATGATGAAGTGGAAACCTGCAGGGCTTTTTTCCTAAATACCTCTACATTCCTTTTCAGTTAATGTGAAGGTTTAAATATTCATTTTGATCTCCCATTTTGCCAGCCATTTGAAAAGGAAATGCAGTGAAACCTGATTCTCCAGAATAATTTTCTTGTTATCTCTAACAGACTAGAGTGCCAGCCAGCAGAAGCGAAAAGAGCAGTCCGCAGGTTCAGAAAGGAGGCCAAGGCACAGTAAGTGCCTTACAAAAGGTGACCTAGAAATCTTGATTAGCAATCACCTCTTGGGCAGAAGCCTGCAGTAACAGTCTGTGTTCTAATTGGATTACATTAGAAATAAAAGATTTTTATCCCAATAAATACCTGCAATTAATAATCAGCTCAGGCCTGGGGAAGCAGTTACTATTACAGAAAACTGGGAATTAAATTGCTGCCTAGGCAGTGTCAAGGGCTTCACGATTCTTTTGTGCAATTCCTTTGAGAGCACTGCAAGATACTTTAGAGCTGGAAAGTGACTGATATAAAAGGACTGATATAAAGATACAAGCTGCTTCCTCTCTCTAAAATTAATTCACTGCTACAGGAGAACCCTACACTATATATTAGCTTTTAAAGGGCTTTATACATTTAATAGTTTCAATCCTTGCTGTGCTTCAAGATCAGCCACTGGGGGTTGAGTTTCATGTAAAGAGCTAAACTGGGTTGCAATTAATTTTCAGTTAATATACTGGCACCCCCTTCAGAGTTGGCAAGATTAGGCAGAGCGAGATGACAGATTGTTTTATCAGAAGTGGGAAGAAGCACCAAGCTGAAAAAGAAAGTTAGGAGAGAAACAATCCATCAGGATTGAAGGAAGGTTTTTTTTCCTACCAGCTACAATGCTAAAATATTTATTTCAACAAATATTTTAATAATACTCTCAAACATACTAAGTTTGTCTAATGTCAACAGTACCAGTTAGTCATACTTTGGTGACTCTATGAAGTTATGAAAATAATGTACTTAAAAATAAAACTGCTCTTTTTAAATTACATGGTTTTGAGATGAACAGCTGAGTAAGCAGCTTCTTCCCCATACTGCCAGATTCATAGTTACTCTGCCATTGGGTATCTCTGCTTCCTGGGGAGCCTTGAGGTGACATCATTTGGACTTGATTCCAAGGACAGGAATGGGATGCAATCACTATTGGAGCCCAAAATGATTCAAGTGACCCAGAGTGAAGCATTCTCAACAACCTACTTTCAAGCAAACCAAGGAAAACACAACTTGAGTGTGGCTACAATGCCACAAATGAAAGGATGAAAAGAAAGAGACAGGTTAAGAGAGGGCAGGAGAGATTAGCCATGCCCTAATCTCTGTGTCTACTCAGGGAACACAGTGCAAGACTATACGAGGACAGCCAGGCAAGCACTCTCTGCTCTGAGGAGAGTTTTGGAAAGGCCAGTCCCTATTTGTAGAAAGCTAAGTGCTATAACTGGGGATGTTGTATGTGTGCGTGCTTGCTTGCTTGCTTGCTTGCTTGCTTGCTTGCTTGCTTGCGTGTGTGTGTGTGTGTGTGTGAGGGAGAGAGAGACATTGAATTTAGGACAAAGTTTGAGTCCATTGGCACCTTCAAAGAGAGAGAGAGAGAGAGAGAGAGAGAGAGAGAGTATTTAAAGCCTGATGGTCAGCCGCAAGCAATTAATTATGTTGATATTGTTTGTGGAGAACAGAAGTGGAGAGTGATCCCACCACATTCTTTACAGTAAGAGTTTAATTGAAGTATTCTAGGTACAAAAACTACATCTAACAATTTTAGCAAGTTTATCAGCTGGCAATTCTAAGTAGTCCCGTCTCCATCCCACAATGGATGGAACTCTGTCATATCTTGAGACAGACAGAAAAGGCATAAAGTGAATACGCACATCAGTGAATGAGGACACTCGCTTCCCTATGCAAATTTACAAGACATACAAACCAATTCCCCGTTTCCACTGCTGTACTTACTTGTAACCATCTCTGATGAAAGCAGCTGTAGGCGGTAAAGGAAGTTGTTCGATTTTTGGAGGAATTGCCCAGGAAGGCCGATAGACACAGGCCTCTGAAGTCTTCAGAGGTATCAGGCACTGGCTTGGGAGCATTTTCAATGGAGCAAACATGGAGGAGCCCATAAAAGGCTGAAAGATCGGAACTTTGTGCACATAGGAGAAATCCTGCAGTGCCAAACAAATTGCACTGTTGGTTAACAAAGTTGTCCTGGTCAACTGCATTTCTTATAAAACAAAAACTTCAGGTGACCTTTCTTGTCTGAAATCAGCCAACCACTAGACATTTTCACTTGGGCACTCGTGTTTTCTAGGAAGTAAGTGTGGAAATAGGTATTGCCTAAAATGTGGGGCTGCAGGCAAACACAATGGCCCTCTCTCTAGCTCCCTCTTTCTGTACCCTGTAATCCAGAGTCATACAGCACAGGATGAAACATGACATGACAGCTGCCTTAGCAGGGGGTATATTAAACTCCCCTCAATAGGAAATATGGACACCAAAATCAGCTGCTGACCCAATCATTCAGTTCCATTACCCTGGCAGCCCCCCACCCCCGGCACCTGAAAGGACCAGGGATTGCTGACGCACACCTTTATGCAATAATTAGCACAAACCATGGATTACAAACCTACTTCAGACACATTTTCTCATTCTGGTTGGTCAGCCAATGCTAATTCAGTTATCATGTTAAACCATACAAGCTTCCCTAACCATGGCTTGGTGTGATACTTGAACTCAGTCCATTACACATAATTCTTTATTAAGAGGATAATGAGTGAATCAGTCATCAAGTTACAGAATAAAGTATACAACACCTATATTTAATTTTACAGATGCTAGAGTACAAGAGTAGCCATGTCAATTCATAGCTGCAAGATAATGCTGAAATACTGTAATTTAAAGTCTGATTATTATATCTTGCCATAAGACACTAGTTCTGTTTAAAGTAATGATGTATTTCATGAGGATACTCTACAGTAACTCTTTGGGATAGGGATTTCTTGATACAGAATTTACACTGGCTTTACCTTAATTTCTTCAGGCTTAGGGCTGCCTAACCCATCTTCTACCTCCATCTTAAACTCTGTGAGCTGATTTGTAACCATGTTGACCACAGGACTTTCCATCATCCCCAAGGTAGTAGCTGTTTCTGAACTGATACCATCTTTGTAGCTCATCACAGGGGAGAAAGCAGGATGTTGCTCCAAGGATGGTGGTGTCGGAAACATCCTCTGCAGATCTGCCACAGCTGAAACAGACAGTCCAGTCTTAGGCCTTGCAAAACTCAACCTTCCAAGATGTTCAAAAGATAATTAACAGAAAAGAAAAATACAAGGCTAAACAGAGACAGCAAAAAAAGGCAGGCTTGTTGCCAGTTTCAGATTTTGCCTCACTAATGAGTTGTAGCCTGTAAGAGCAAAATCTCACAGACAGTGCTCACGTCTAGGGCTCAGTTCAAGCAGTGGCATGTGCTCCCAGCTGCATCCTTACAGGCACAGGGAAATACTTTTTAAAAGCAAACTCAAAACACCACAGTAAGCAGCAGCAGCAGCAGCTAAGGAAAAGTCCTTCTGAGTGCTCCAGTGCTCTGCACCATAAACAAGTAATACGTCACAAAACGTACCAGGAGACCCTTCAGTGTAGACTTTCCAATTTCCCGGGGGGGGGGGGACTGGGGCTGGGCCAGAGGCATTGCTGTGCTAGGAGCAAGGGTGGCTCCCGGGGGAGGCTGAGCACCTTCCTGAAAAGTTCGGTGGGGGCTGAAGCCCCGCCGCCCCCACGAAGATTACGCCCATTCATGCAAAATCCTTCAGGCACTTGTTACAATTCACATCCATTACTTTTAAAATAAGCTTGCACAGCAGAACAGGCAAAGCAGTGAACTGTGCCTCTACAACTTTACCCCCAAATCTTATTGGGGGTGGGGGAATTACAGAAGTTAAATTTCTTCCAAAGCTAGACAAATGCTGCAAGTGCTGCCTTGGATTAAAAACCTGTGAAATTCCCTATCTAATCAGCCTCATAACCCAATTTAGGAAGACTACAAAAGAAAGCTATTCCTACTATTCAAATGGAGTTTGGTAATTAGAAATTTTGCCTCAAGGCATCTCTGAGAGAGCAGCCAAGCATCAGAAGAAATTGCTCTATAAACCCTATCGTTACCCTCTAACTCGCAAAAATGATTCCCCCCCCCCAACGGACATTTATTAAGCATATTTATTTATTTATTTATTTCCTTAACGGGGTCAGCTTTCAAATAAGTGGTAACAATATGCACCAAGGATTTTAAAAGAGTGCGTTTGAGCAGACGCTATCATCAATTAATACGCCTGTATGCATAATTTTCCAGTGCTCCTTATTTATAAAAATATTTTATAGGTCATAAGAAATTCATAATAAAAATATTCAGAAAGGGGAAAAAATACACTACAGAAACAAATATGTAAGACACAAGTACCAAAAAAGCACCATTCATTTTAACAGTTGATCACATGAGCAGTTAAAGAAAAGTATGTACTCTTGTGACTGCAAAGGCAAAAGAAACATCCTTTCTGTTGCTATTTGCTAAAACAATGCAGCTTGTTTATACTGGTCCTCTCATTGGCATCACTCTGCTCCACAGGCACGAGAGTGAGAAGAACCAGGCTGGGATCTAATCTCCAAGCCTTACCAGCCAAATCTCACTGGCAGAGACCTCTAAACCTTAAAGGATCCCACCACTCCAGGAAGACAAGGGTGGGAGGCACTCAAAGGAATGGATCAAGGTAAACAGCAGGAATTTGCATTCTCTAAGGTACTGTTCAGGTGAGCCACATAAATAAGCAGGGCTTCCAATCATGACTGAATTCTCAGTCACAGCTGGCAATGGAGGCAATGGCTGTTGGTGACGTAGCATAACTCTATAAACCTTACTTGAACACACACATTAGAAGTACAGAAGCAACTCTATCATATCTCTCTCCTGCAGGCCCCACAACCAATCTGAGCCAGCTTAGCAGCAAAACTGCCACTGAGACACCCCTACCCAGCATGTAGGATGTGAAGTATGCAGCTCACATCTGATGTCCTTGTACTTTCTCAGTGACAATAACCTGGGGGTTTCTGGAGCAACAATCTAATGGAAAAGCCTTTACAGAAAGATTAGATTTCTAACTCATCACAGCATGCGCTACGAAAAAGACAGGTTCTGCTTTCGAGTCTGACATCTCTCTCCTCCCATTCCTCCCATCTTTTCTTTTTCCACATCTTAAACAGAAATTGCTCCATCTAAAGGTAACACCATGGGCCAAGCCCCATCTGTTTAACTCTTCCCAAGCTGCTCCACAATATACCATTTTTGGGGGGTCCCCCTTATTTTTTAAAAAAATTCTGCAATGCAGTGTCATAAAAAAGAAGAAAAATGTTTAATTAAATAAACCCACAGATCTGACTGGGTATTATTATTCATTTTCATATGTGTCATGCTTGAGAAAGCCTTGCATATTTTAGGAAGCTATAGATCTACTAAAACTGTCAAAATCCAATCTCTGTGTACTTCATAGTTCTGCATTTGAGTAAATCAGCACTGCTTTTATGGGTCCATAAAACTCTCTGACTCATTCTTGTGACACCATGGTTTTTCCCCTCAATTTGTTCTCATTACCAGCCAGAGTTAATGAGATAACATTCAAGAATGATTTACAGTGGAGTGAGATTTCTGCTTAGAGTAGCCACAGTACCTTTCCCTCTGAAGCTAAGAATCTTGTAATTCACAATGACATCTGTTAGTATCACACAAAATACTATTTCCAAATACACATAAAACATTCTAAAGCATATCATGTACATGGGGGGGGATCTGCAAATCTGAAACAAAACTCCAATTCCCTGGAGGTTCTGCCCAGATAGAAAAGAATGACATTGAAATCTACACAAATATGCACAAGACTTGTGTGAGGCTACCAGAACCTTCACACAACCTAAATGTCCTTTGAATTCACCAAAGCTGTTTAAAGGCATACTAAGAACCAACAGTTGTATTCTCAGCCTTAACTTCTCTTTTGCTCTACAGATTTGTTGAAGATATATAATACAGTTTCAATTAGACACTATTGGCTTCCATTTCAAAGAGTAAATTCCACCTCCACTTGTAAATTGATAGCTTCTAAACGAAGACAGCTCAAATTAAAAATAATTACATTTCCCCCACGGTTCTTGTACAATCATATTTGGGTAGCAATACTCTGCCCCAACAGAGCAGCTAATAAACCAATGATGATTTTTGTGAACACTGGTATGGAAGAGGAGCGGCTGCTCAGCCTATACTAGGAATACAGAAGCAGATTCTACTTCAACAGCAAAAACTTATTTTGGGTTCCGAATCAGAGAGAAGACAGTAAGAAAATCATCCCAGATCACCCAATTACAACTCAGATTAACAGATTAATGCATATTTGCAAAGCATTTCTTTTATAAGATGGCTTTCAGTGACCAGCTTTCCCTCCTCCAACCAGCTACCAACTTTCATCGCAGTCAGAAACCAAAAGCCATCTTGCTTCGATTGAGACCTCATCAAGAAGCCCCCCATGAGATTATTTAATTACATTTTAATTCACAGACTGAATTTTACCTGTCTATAGCCAATTTTGGGATGAAAGATACTATACAAATTCACATCTTGGTTTTTACTCTCTCGTTTTAGTCAATCCTATAGAAGGGGAAACTCTAGCAATTGACCAAATCTGGGTACAAAGCTGTTGTCGTACTCTGCTACTTACTTGGTGGATAAGGAACTGCTGTTCTGCCATCCTTACCCAGAGGGCTTTCTTCAGTTCCCACAGCAGGGATTTTTGATGATCGCAGTGCAGGTGATACAGCCTAGATATAGGAGTTAAATAAATAAATAAATCTTCCAAAAAAAATTAAGGTGTTAACTTGACTACAGCATGAATTTCAGAACTCATCCCAATACTGAAAATGTGATAGTCTTTGATTCCTGAATAGACAACAGTATCCAGCCATAGCCATTTTTGTTTTAATGGAAAAATTGTCATTGGGGAACAATAATGAAAGTCATTTACTTGTTCTTGTTTATTCCAATATTTAAAAGGTCTATATATCCTTTTATAAATTAATTAAGTGCACAGTTAATTTTCATGACTTTGGCACCACAACATGCCAATTTTGTTATCTGATAATCAGAAATTGCAGCAAACAATATAACGCTTCTGCTATCACAGGCACCATTGTTGAGTACAAAACCTAGTTTATGATCACAAAAAGGACTAAGCTATCAGTTATATCAGACGGAACATTCCTCTTATAGAAGCCTCCTTTGAGATCAGAGGAAGGGAAGTTGTGTGATGCTCCTTACACAGTTTCTTGCTTAATTAATTCCCTGGGACAATATCAAGAAGGAAGAAATGAAGCCTGCCACTCCCCCAAAGAAATCAGATATTATTCTGAAGTCACAGAGGCACAAAGTACACACAGCACAGCTTCACTTATCACACACTTACCCCAGGCTCATCTTCATCTGAATTATCAAAGAGGTTGTCTAAATCATGTAGTGATGGGGCCAAGTCTGTTACTTGTGTGAGGCTACCAGAACCAGCTCGGCCTGCTGCATTATCTTGCCGGGTGTCTAGGAGAGAAAAGGGGAGGGGGAAACTTAAGGGCTTCAGGACTAGGGCAAAAACATGAAAGGCACACCAAATTAAATGGCAAGTAAACATCAGAAAGTAAGTCAAGTGTTAAGACGTTTATACTAGAAATAATACGAGCCTCCACTGAAATGAGATGACTTTGGATGGGTGAGTAGAATAATATATTCAGATGCTGAATAGCATCATTATAGTTCCCAGTTTTCTTTTCATCAGTTCATAGCAAAGTTTATGGCAATGAATCTTGATGAGATTTCCTCTAGTATTCTTTCCAGGAAGTGTCAAAGAGATTTTCATGTACCTGTTTTAGGAGCAGAACTGAAAATGGACATTGCATCTTTCCCATCTGGCATGGTAGTGGAATGACCGGATGCAGAAATCTCCTTAGTTACAGTTCCATCTTCCGACTGAAAATACAGAGAACGCAATGCTATTTGTATCAAAGGTTGGGATATCCAGGATAAAGGTTTAAGAAAAGGAAGGTGTGTTTGTAGTTTGAATACTTCTGCCCTATGCTTGCTTCGAATGGCCAATATACTCAACACTTCTCCAAAAAGTAACAAAAGCCACATAGAAAACATTCCTCACATCCAGTGTGAAATGGCCCTATGATTAATATTAGGAAACAACAAGAGACTGTGGCCTTTTCAAAATCTTACTTTAAAGCTGTATTTACTCAAATCAGTGCTTGTAGAAGAGAAAGGTTTAAACAAATGTGAAAGAATCACTCCTTTCCAGAGCTGCAAGGTTATCAGTAAGTGCCAATATAAATGGTAGCTACATATCCAGATCTCCAGGATCACACAACACATTACCCAAATGTCACTGGGGCCAATGTGCACTATGCTAACTTCACCCAGCACTATCAAGCTATCTAGACAATGTGTGATGTCCACAACCTTCACACCAGGCAGAAAAGTCACCATGCAGCCAAAACATCTGTAACAGAACCTGCTCTCTATATTCCTAACTACTGAAGTGCCCACTTCTAAAAGCCCACCTCCCCCCCCCCAATCCCAGAGGGGTATCCTCCTTCTCAATTACTCCCTCTAACCCGCCCCCCTAAAATTCTAAGAAACTCACTCTAGTGACTATCAGAACACATTTTACTTGCTCAACATGTGTATGCAGTGAAGGAAAAATACCAGCTAATGTATGACATGGAAGGTACTGTTTCTAGGGTCAGATCTTGGTTTCCAAGATACAAAAAAGAGCACTGGGGCAACCTTTAGGGAACGGCACTTTCAGAGGCTTCATGACTCACTTTTGGGTCCCAATCCACAAGTTGGGAAACACTGCACTATTCTGTAAGTGCTTTCTTCATAGAACCTAAACTACTTTGAGAGTCCTGAGTGGCAGTAAAAAAGGAAACATTTCCAAATAAATAAAATTATTCTAAAAAGAAGGTACCTTGTTCTTCTTCAGAGAGTCTCTCTCAGTCCCAAGTTTGCATTTTTTAGTGCCAGTGAAGCTGTATTTGATGTCACCATCCTGAAATGTGTATGGATCACTGACATCTCCCAAGCATTCGCCAGGCTGCTGTATCAGAGGTAAGGAGTCAAGGTAATTCATTGCTGACACTGGGGGAGTTTCTTCCAAGATTTTAAACCGTTTATTAGGTTGTGCTAAGAGCCTGGAAAAAGGAAATAGGAAAAAATTCAGTGAAGTCTGTCCTGCAGATTTATAGATTTTTCTTATAGAAAAATAGCCAACATAATCTCCTTTTCTGACACTATACAATTGAAACAAAGCATTTTTCTAGTACTGCATGCCTAAACTCCCACCAATATTAAATATTTGCTGGCTGCTTGGCAGACTGACATTCTGGGCCAAAAGAAAGTAGAAATTTACAGGTGCATCACAGATTAGCAAAATCAGCAACATTTTAGTACACCATAGAATTTGCAATAATGGGCGCCAGAGGAAAGATGGTACCAGATGGACATTATTTTACATCACAGGAACAATGATGTAAAGGCTTATAGACTTCTCCATGACAACCGAAGTTTTTAAGTGTGGCTTACAATTGGCATGCTGAAGGACAATTGGCATGCAACAAGAGGACTGCAATCTATAATCTATCATACAATCTATAATCTATCATACAATTTTGGCAATGTTGAATGGGTCCATTCCCAATTTGGACAATACTTTCAGAATGGAGGCCTCCTATTTTCTGCTCAGACCCCTACTCAGAATTCTGCAAAAATGCTATCTAGTTTTCAGGCTGCATTTTGTACACCAGTCATCCTTCACAGAGTATAATTTAACTCTCCCTACAATTCTGCAAATTTTGTGACCTCTTCCACTGATAACTAAAGTATCTCATTTTTTGTTTTGGCTCATTTCTAGATGAATAGTTAAATCACCCATCAGCAGCTGTTTCTAAAGCCACAAATGTAGATACTACTGAAAACTGAACGTTCTGGTTAACCTCAGGAAACAGCTGATACACTTTCCTTAAATGTATCTTTATTCAACAGCAGTACTCCATAAATTGTTGAAATAACTAATACTACCTTTAGGATGAAAACAGCAACGTAAAGCAATTATCCACACACCAGAAAATTTGCACCCAACTTTTCATATGATACATGCAGAAATTTTAGCAACTTTCCCTTGAAATCTACAGTTTTAGTAACTCATTGGGTATTTTTTGAAAGGAAAAAAACCCCTACTAATCTGCAGAAGATTTAACTTTCCCTTGAAATCTACAGTTTGAGTAACTCATTGGGTATTTTTTTGAAAGGAAAAAAAAACCCCTACTAATCTGCAGAAGATTTTGCAAATAGACCCCACACTTCTGTTCCAATAAGTTAAAAACTGCAGCACCCAAGTCAACTGTCCACTCAAATTTTATTAATTGATCTCTCAACTGACCACTTACTACTTAACTGGGATATATATTGTCAGATAAAGCACAAAACCAAAAATGCCACTACAGAGATGGCAGTTTATATATTATGATGCAATTTATATATTATGACTTCATTATGTCGGCCAGAACAGCTCTTTGCCTCCTAACCCTGTGGCAGGTCAAAGACAGACCTAGCAGCACTGCTGCTCCAATTAGCCATCTACATCAAACTGGAAGGAATGGCCTGCTCCCTGCTTTGCATAAGCCCTTCAGAAACCAGCTTTCAATAGATGCTACTTTGCTTTATTTGTTTTAATGTAATGTTATTTTTATAAATCAGTTTATTACGCTTATTAGCTAGTATGATTAGTTTACAAAACAGAGCTGATTTGTTTTTGTAATTATTATAAGTATTAAATATGCTGATAATGAAAGCATTTTTTCCTAAGACATTATTTACATTGTCAGGCCACACACACACACACTTACATTTTAAACTGCTCAAATGATGGCCAGCCCTACAAAGAAGCAAGTGGTATAAGTAACTGAACCCACTGAACACATGGCCACATGGAAACCAGGAAATCTTTTGGAACCAGAGGCCATGGTGAATTGAAGTAATCAAATCCAGTATCCATATACAAAGTCATTGTTCCCAGCAACGACAGCCAACCTTAATATAAGTGGAATCTAACAAGCCTAAGATTTCTAAGACAAGTAGCCATACTGAGGATGCCGCTACAACAGTCAAGTTATAAACAGTAATAACATCAACTCTGCATTGTCTATCCCCTTTCATCTTCTATACCAAACCTTGATGCTTAGTGCACAACACAATATTCCTACCCTTCTCCATACTGACCAACATTCCTGAAAACAAGTTCTTTGGGCTTGCTGCCTCCCACCTTCTTTCCCTAACTTCCTTCTTCAGCCTCTACCTTTGGACTGACTTAACCAGTAATTATCTTGAACTTGGCTTTAAGATCTGCTCTGTTGCAAATCTCTCTGCTGTAAAATTCTCTTCTGGCCATCACTGTCTCTCTTGTAGCAATGCATAATCCCCACCTGCTTCCCCACCCCCTCTTTGCCCCTTGAAATTAAGTGATTATCATTCTTGAGCCTATGAAAGCCTGCTCAGCCAGGACCTGAGGAGTGGATTCACAGTGTTTACTTCCTAGAGCTGCCAATAAAGTATTTGTTGTATCCTTGTATAATCACATCTTACCCTCAGGGACACCAATTTAAAGCAACAACCTTTTCTTCAGAATCCACATAATCATCTTTAATCCCAGGCTTACAACTATTTCCTTTGGCCTGAGAGCTACAAGGTTTCATGGGTGTGTCAGACAAGAGACCTCTTTTTCTCTCTTGCATTGTCTATAGGGATGCTTGTATAATTGACATAAATATTGATAGTCATATACAATTTGAGGATGCGGTTCTCTGGCTTCCCCCATGACCTGGTCTCTGCCCTTCTCATGCACAAAGTACGTTTTAAGCCAGAAAAGGGGGGGAGGAGAAGGGTCTCTGCCCTTCTCATGCACAAAATATGTTTTAAGCCAGAAAAGAGGGGAGGAGACTGAACAGATGGCCTACTTCTAACTGGTGCTTTAAAGAGTAACCATCTGTACAGTAACACAGATGGGGTCTACACCAGAGATGGGCATGAACACAAAACATCGGTTTGGGGAAGCCCCTGAACCAAGCCAAAAGGCCCAGAACTGAACTGGCAACTTTGGATCCCCCTTTCTGCCAGCCATGGCTTGCCACGGCCAGGAGAAACAGAGGGGGATCGCCCAGGAAGGGCTAAATGGCTGGCAGATTTCACAGGTCGGTTTTACTTCCTCCTGCTTCGAAGCAGGGTGGAGTGAAACCAACCAGTGAAATGGCTTGCAGACATTTCAACCTAACAGTGGGGTGAGTGCGCCTGTCAGCTGTGGACCCGCATAGGTTGAAGTTTTAATGACCTGAACAGCTGAACCGAACTGGACTAAATCCGGTAAATATTTGGGGAAGGCGCCTTCCCCAAACATCGGTTTGGGGGCACTGAACTGGACAAGGTTCATGCCAAATTTTGGCTCGTGAACCAGTTCATGCCCATTCCTAGTCTACACTACAGCAGAACACATATATGGGACTGCACAGACACCACAAAGAACTACTAGACATTATAGAAAGGCACAGAACTGTCACCTAAAACAGCAGCACCACACCTTCCTCTTCCTCTCCTCCTCAGTAACATCCAGTTATATAAAATGTGCGTCATCACAGGACTGTACGCTTCTGCACCCTCCTCCCAGCAAACAGTACCCAATGGAGAATGGCAACATATTGGATTATTTTGCAGAACAAGACATTAGTGCAGGAGGAAAAGGAAGAGATGTTTTGTAGTTGGCAGCCACACATAATCTATAAGGCCTAGCTTGGCTCAGGAGGTAAGGGACGGTTACTCTGAACATCCTGATGAGGATCTTAGCACCAAATGTTGTCGAAGGCTTTTAGCTCTGTTTACAGGGAGATCCAAGGCATTACCAAAGAGATGCCTACATGGATCAGCAACATGGCTCCCGTCCCTGGTAGTGCTCCATATTTTTTTCTAATGCATAAAGGAATAACTGTTGCAGAGAAATAACTGAATCCAAACTGGGAGTCTTACTGTGGCTCTATACACAATAAAAGTGATATTGGTAGTAAGACTAGTAACGCTATACAAATGTTATATTGATCCATAGTAGTTGCAATACAAACACATCACCTATAATCACTTGTAACTCCTCCTGGCCTTTATTGAATACACCCTCCTAAATATTTGTGGAACAAGAAGCACTTTCCCCCACACTAAATCATCTGAACTAATTCACATCTATACATAAGCAAAGGTTCTTTCAAATTTAGTCTTATATTAAAAAGCCTATACAATTCCACAGGAAGATGTAACTCTCCCATACGAGTGATACTGTCTGAAAGCCTATGAACTGACAAAGTTTCACCAAGCTTCTTCTAAAGTTATACCCAAAAGCTTTTTCTCTTTTCTCTTGTTAAAAATACAGCATTTCCTACTAGCCTTAAGAGGGAGATATTGATGCAATCTTCAAAGTGAAACAGTTATTTTCAGTAGTTCAACATAAAACAAGAATCAACATTTCAAATGGTATTTTACAGACTATGCTTTTGGTCTCAGCACCATGTGATAATCTGAAGACAAGACTTAAAAGCTCATGTAGTCAGGTATCGTATCATGGTTCAAATGATCTAGGTCTTCTCCCCCAACTGTGCATCACTCCCACTATTCCCACCATAGCAAAACTTTGAGTGTGTTGATTTTTTTTTTAATTTTGAAAACATAGTGTATTCTTGCAAGACTCAATCCTATGGAAGACAAAACTAATATGACAAGACTCAAAATTTATATCTGACTCTGAGACTTCTATAAAGGTATCCAGATCTCACAGCCCTACCCCATCCTCATTTTCCTCCAGGTGGGGAAGGGCAAGATAACAGTACCCCAGTGCATGCATATTTGAGAAAAATCTGCACAGGCCTAAAGAACACCCACCTACTGTGGGTTGGGAGACCATTCTGGAAGTGATTCTAAAGTCCATTGCCTTCCCATGTTCCTGCTTGACATAATTTACCTTAAGAGCAAAATTTAACCTGGGAAATTATAGTAGACAAAAAAAAAATCTCAGCATCATTTGAGACATTCAATAGTCTTAGAGATTGTGTTACCTTTTCAGTGCAGTGCTGTCAGAGACTGTATCCATCTTGCTGTCATATCTTTCACACTGGAGCTCTGGTGGCCTGAACTCTGAATCATCATTTGGGGGAAGAACATACCCCTGCCACTTAGTTGATGACTCTTGGTTGGGTAAGACGCCACAGTATAAAGCTGTCTCACTAACTTCTGCCATCAGAGGCAGCCTCTGGCCTACAAGAACTGTCCTGTCCTCTGCACTGGCCATTGGCTGAAGTTCTAATCCACTGCTGTAGAGGGCTGGATTCACAGGAACTGATGGAAGATCTAAACTATCCGTTTCTTGTCCTCTTGGCTGGGGGCTAAGTGTGGGAGGCAGAGGAGACGTGGGAGAATGGGGGGAATCCATAGGATTCAAATTTGTTGGTTTGCTTGGGTGCCTTGGAGGCAGACAGAGTGGTTTCTCATATTTCCTGCTGTTAGAGGCTTCCAAGGAAGGGTCCATCCCTGCCAAGGCCAACTTCTGTCCTGATGGGTCCTGATCCATACACAGCTCTTCGGTGACAGAGGGACGATGGTGAAACGGCAGCAGTGATCTCTTTTGAAGTTTTTCTGATTTCTCCTGCCTCTCAGTGGTTTTGTGCTTAGAGGCAGGAGGTGGCAAGGAGGCAGAGGACAAGGATCCTGCACCAAATCCTGGCTGTGATATCGTTGGTGGGCGACTGGAACCCACAGCACAACGTTGCTTGAGAAGTTTGTGCCTGAAAAAGTAATCAGGAAGTCTTTGCTGAGGGGGTTGTGGAAATAAAAAGGGCAAGTGGTTCATGCATATGACAATACCCCTGGAAACCCCAATTCCTTCTCAGACTCAAATAGAAGTAACCTTTCAAATGTAGCAAAGCAGCCACATTTTCTTTCTGTTTTTTTAACTCAAGACTTAAAAATAACCACTCTCCCCTGAACAAAGCTTTTGTAAAGTGGATAAAAACAAGCTTCTTTCCTTTCTGGCTATGATTAAACATAAATGAGGGTGATAGTAACTTTTGTGAGCTTATTTGCAAGGCTGTTTTAATTGGAAAAGTCTCTTCTGGTCAAAGGTTTTAGAAGCGGCTCATCTGAGCTTTAAATAAAAGCTGCAATTTCCACTCTCTCACTCAGCTAGAGAAAAAGAAGAGGAGGAGGAAGAGACTGGATTTATACCCCGCCCTTCACTACCCAAAGGCGTCTCAGAGCGGCTTACAAACTCCTTTCCCTTCCCCTCCCCACAACAGACACCCTGTGAGGTAGGTGGGCCTGAGAGAGCTCTGACAGAAACTGCTCTTTTTCAAGGACAGCTGTGCCAGAGCTTGTGACTGACTACAAGTGATCCAGAACAGTTACTGTTGCTCAGGACTGGCTCAGAGGGCTCACACTCCTTTCACATTGCAGGACAGAGATGGCCTCTATCTATATTATACACAGGTCCGTAGCCAGGATTTTTTAAGTCAGGGGGCATTTAAATTTCTTAGGGGGCACTGACTAATCAAATTAATCCAGGGGAGAAGGCTGTAACACCCTGGTCTGGATGGGAAGTCAGGGGGCCTTGCCAGCAAGTCAGGGGGGCTAGCCCCCAGATGCCCCACTGTAGCTACGGGCATGATTATAGAAGTGCTTACTCACTTCCACATCCCACTACCACAAATGCAGTGCCCAGAAACTAATAATCAATTTCATGCCACAGTCTTGCATGTCTTCCATAAAGACAAAAAGTACAATGGGTACAGAGAGGAGCTGATATCCCGCCATAGCTACCGCTTTGTGATGGGTCAGTTTTCACAAGTAGACATAGTCCATGGGATGTGTGTTAGCAGGACCATATCATTTTGACTTGTCCTTCTTCTAGCCTATCTACTATCCAAGCACTGTAACTAACATTGTGTCCAATCTGCTTAGCCCTGATCCATATGACTTTAACAAGTGAACAAATTGGGCCTATGTGCATTGCACTCTATTTGCATAGGCCCTATCCCAGCATTATGTCCAAAGACTAGAAGTCTAGCAGACCTGGATTCTAAAAAAGTGTGCCCAGTGGTTCATATCCTACTCCTCCACTATGCACAGGCTCTCTCAAAAGGTCTGGTATCAGCAGCCAGAAAAGCAGGAGTTGTGGATGTTCTGGCGACACTTTTGTTTTGTATGGCATTCCTTCAACGATCCCTCTTCCCTAAACAATGTTCTTATGTTTTGTATATATTTTAACTGTTTTACATGTGTTTTAACTTTGTTTTTAAACACTTTATAAAATTGTTTTAATGATACATGTTGTGGAGAAGGGTTGATAAATAATTTTATAATGTAATCTTATCTTGTATGTTCAAAATTGTTGGCAACCTTGGTGGCCCCTGTAAAAGCAGAAAGGTGGAATAATTTTGTGAATAGAACAAACAACAACAATAATAATAATAAAAACTTCAACACCGTCTGAGAAATTATGACGGCTCTGGACGCAGACTTTTGTAACACACTTTATGACTAACACAACAGCAGCACAGCCAGTTTTGCTGTACATAAACTATGTAAAATGCCAGTATGTTCAGAATTCCACCCATGGGTGGCATTTTTGATGGCACCTGTGCCCTGACAATGCAAATGATGCTAATATTGTTCTTTTTTTGTACACACCTGGAACAAGAACAGCAGACTCTTTGGACCGGATCAACAAAATCCCAAGACACACTGTTGTTGGGGGCTTCTTCCTCCAAAACTGTAGCAGTAATCTGATTCCTCCTGAAAGGGAGGGGTACACAGTTATGTCAACTTCCTTCATGCATGAGTGTATATGCTAACAAGAAAAAATAAAAGTAGACACCAACGAATTATTTTTAATCCAAATAGTGTTTGTTTCAATTAACTTGAGTGTTTTTTTCCTGACTTAGACCATGAGTAAAGTGTAAAAAATATTTTAAAAACTTGCTAAAAGATTTTCTAGGAGCCAAAGAGTAGGGGGAAATAAATAATTTCCTGATCTCTGGTGCAACCCAGTCACCTAGTCAGATTCATGAAGCATCAGTTGCTAGGCAGTGGCTGTTGTTCAGAGTTGCCCAAGAGGGCATGGATGTTCAAAGGATAATGGACAGGGACAGAGGATATTCTGTAACTAATTTGTTTCATCATTTAAAATAATTTGCCTTTAGATATAACAAGTTCAGAGGAAGAAGGCAAGATGGAGGATTAAAACACCATAAGACACTACAACTCTAAAACGCTGGATCCCTTCCAGTCCGGCTTCCTTCCTGGTCACGGGACGGAGACAGCACTGGTCGCCCTCACAGATGACCTCCGGAGGCATCTGGATCGGGGCGGGATGGCGGTGCTGCTGTCGTTAGACCTGTTGGCGGCGTTCGACATGGTCGACCATCAGCTGCTTACCCACCA